AGAAAAGCTAATTGTTTTGCCCAATGCTAGTAAATATCTGAGGTAGGATTCAAATCCAGGTCTTCTAACTCCCAGCCCTATGCTTGTGACCATTGCACTACCTAGCTGCTTCGTGGTCGTACAGCTTGGTAGAGCCAGAGCTTGGAAACAGGTCTTCCAACTCTAAGCCCAGAGCTTTCTGCCCTTTCCCAAACCATGCTGCCCCCTAGCCACTGGTACATAGAAGAAGGAAAGGCAGCATCTCATCTTCTTTGGGAGTTAGATTCAAAAGGTCCCGCCTTTTTAAGATCCCATTGTCATCTTAGCGTAACGAGTGTTGACCACAGGAACTGTGCACTAATGGTGGTTTGTTTCCTACCTTTCCCACCTCTACCCTCAAAGGAATGGAATATCTGATCCCAGAGCTAAGCCTCTGTTGGTTTCCTATGTGCCAGGAAAGAGTCTATATTACACTGCTTGGTCTCCGGGCCGGCTGGCAGCTTTATTCAGTTTGTTTTACTTAAAGGACCAATTTGAAAAAGTGGTAGTTAGGGAGTCTGTGGTTCAACTCAGGAAAGATCAAACAGCTTTTGCTGTAAATAAATCTTGAGCCTGCCCAGCCATTAGCTTTGGTGTCAAACAAGTCACGCGGACACGCTGAGGCTTTTGGAAACTGCAGTGTTGAATGCAAAGGCAGTAGCTATGAATCAGAGGTAGATTTCACTAGGCTTCTTCCCAGTCTTAGGGACAGAATGCACACGGTGACTTTCAAGTATTAACTGCATTTTGTAATAATGATAACATGGTGCCAATGGAAGCAAATTCTGGTCAGAAAATTTTGACCTGGAAGATCACCTGCTTCAACCCCCGCATTTTACAGATTGTGTAATTCAGTAGAACACCTAGGAGAATGTAAGCTTCAGGAGGGTAGGGACTATTTTTGGTTTGTGTTTAACCCTGGCAACTAGCGTAGTGCCTTCTTGTACGCAATAGGCACTTAATAAATGCTGGTGGGTTTAGATTGGATGAGATACTGAGGCTTAGGGAAGTGGTTTGCCCAGTGTCACGCAGCTAGTTAGAGACAAAGAAATACTTAAAGCCTAGTCCAACAATTTGTCTGCTATACATGTTGCCTCCGTGTGGTTTTTTGAACAGTTGTATTTAGATGAATAACCAGTCAAATTAGTCAGTAGAAAAAAAAGTTGTTAAGCTTCTTCTTTGTGCTGGGCATTCAATAACCAGTAAATCTACATAATGAACATGGATTCCTAAAAACTGCCATTTGGGGGATAAGGGAGAAGAAGGACATGGTCCTTTTTTTTTTTTTTTAAGAAAAGAGTGTGTGCCTGGGTGTGTGTGCCTCTATGTGTGTGTGAATATATAAATATACACTGATCTTTTTCTTTTTGATACCAGAGCTAATATTTTATAGATAGATATAGATGTAGACATATATCATATGATCATATGTCCATGTGATCGTACATACCATATTGGGTAATATATGCACATGTGTATGCAAGTATGTATACTTACTTGTATATGCTTTTATGTGTATTATAGATATATACAGATTATCACCATGTATTCTGGGCTGATATTGACATAGGTCAGTCTCCTGGTTATTTCAGTTTGATATTAGAATGAAATGAGACACTTGTACATCATTCAGTAGTTAACAAAATGAGATTTGTTTAGCTGTAGTCGGAGGCTGTTCATGAAGTATGGTCATTGAGGACACTTTAAGGTGATTCACCTGAACAAAGCTCCTTTGCCTGAGCTGCCCATCGTGATTCACCAGCCAAGCATCTTGAGGGCACCTGGAGCTCCTCATTTGTTCTCAGACATCAGGAAATGGTGTCAGCAACCTGAGGCTTTAATCCCCTGAGCCAATCAAGTACCAAGAATGTCTCTATACCTTTTAAGGGAAAACTAGCCTAAATTGCATGGGGGCAGGGGTTAGGACATTGCTCCTACTATACCAGGCTTCAGGAAGAACCAGGAAGTAAGCCCATAAAAGTTGGAAGTTATCAGAATAGGTATTTGAGCATCCCTATACCAAAGCACATGAACTTTACTCATAATACAGCCTCTCATTCAGAGCAGAGTATTAGAATTGGAGGAAGAAGGGCTGTTGTGAGCAGAGAAAGCAGTAAAAAATAAATGCCTGACATTTCAAAGGAGATGACAAAAGGCGACAGCAAAAGAGGGGATGAAAGAACCCCAAAATGCAGAAACAAGAACTCAGAAAGTCCAGAAATTTTTACATGATTAATATAGAGGTAAATGTCACAATATGCCCCTAGAATATAAAGAGGATATCGCTGTATTACAACTTAGCACAAATAATTGATGTTCCTGAGTCAGCAAGAAATAATAAGGAAACCTACCATCAAGAAACAGTTAAATTTTGTTCACAAAGACAGGGAAGGGTATAACATATTTAGGAAGATTTTCATCGCAAATAGCCAAACTGGGACAAAAATAAAAGAGTTAATTAAAAGGGTAAACACCTAGTCAGCAAACATTGTCCAGCGGCTTCCTATCGCCTCCAAGAACAAATACAAAATGTTCAGTTTGGCATTCAAAGCCCTTCCTAACCTAGTCCCCTCCTACCTTTCCAGTCTCCTTACTCCTTACTCTTCCATCCAGTGACACTGGCCTCCTGCCATTTCCTCGAACAATAGTCCATCTCCAGCTGTTTTCTCTGGCTGTCCCCCATACCTGGAATGCTCTCCCTCCTCAACTCCAACTACTGACCCTCTGGTTTCCTTTAAGTCCCCACTAAAATTACACCTCCTACAAGAAGCCTTTCCTAACCCCTCTTTATTCTATTGCCTTCCCTCTGTGAATTACTTCTTCTTTTTTTTTTAATTGCTATTTGGTGAGGCAGTTGGGGTTAAGTGACTTGCCTAGGGTCACACAGCTAGTAAGTATCAAGTGTCTGAGACCGGATTTGAACTCAGGTCCTCCTGGCTCCAAGGCTCTATCCACTGCGCCACCTAGCTGCCCCAATTACTTCTTTATCCTGTATAGAGCTTGCTTTGTATACATTTGTTTGACTATCCTCTCTTCCATTACACTGTGAGTTCCTTGAGGGCAGGGACTGTCTTTTGCCCCTTTTTGTATCCTCAGCACATAGCGTGGTACCTAGCACGTAGTAAATGCTACTAATTGGCACACACTAGATACTCTTCTAGATGGCTATCCTGGGTGACTCATTCTCTGCTCTCCCTCCAGTTCCTGAATTTCCAAGACTTTACTGTACAGTGACTACATTCCCCCTCTCCTTCTGGTTCCTGGGCATCCTCATCTGAGAAATTGAGGAATAGTATCCCCTACCTCACAGGATTATGGTGAAGATAAAATAAGATAATGTATATAATATGCTTTGTAAATGCTTTTGTACATTATTAGTCATTATTATTATTATAGCTAATATTTTATACAGTGCTTACTATACAGGCACTGTGCTAAGGGCTTTACAATTATTAGCTCATTTGCATCTCACAACAACCCTGGAAAGTAGGTACTGTTATTATTCTCATTTTGTAGATAAGGAAACTCAGGCAAACAGAGACTGACTTGTCCAGGGTCTCACAGCTAGTAAGTGACTGAGTCAGGATTTGAATTTGGGTCTTCCTGACTGCAAGCCTGGTGCTCTATCCAACATTAATAGGTTATTATTATTACTTGCTATACCAGGAAAATGTCATTACTTTCACCAAGTGTAAAATGAGTTGTATTTATGTTCTCAGCTGTCCTTCTTTCAACCTCTGCCTATATAGTTAGCTGAGTATCATGCTGCTTTCAGCTTTTCTAAAATATACTTTTCAATATCATCATCAGGGTTTATTTTCCTTTTGCTGTAGACATACACACTGGGACATATTATTCCATGTAGGGCTTCCCTAAGCATTTTTTAGAACCAAATGTGTTTACTTGAAGGCGGAAGTTAACTCTAATTTCCCCGTAATATGAATGCAAATAACTGCCATAGAGGAAAGGGAAATCCTATCTCCCAGTTTGCAGGAATGATAGAATCACATGAAGTGTCTTTGAATCTTATTTTCATGTTTGTGAAATTCATGCTTAATGAAACTTCTAAGAGTGTTCCCCTCACAGCTCATGTCCAATCAGTTGTTAAATCTTTTCTGTTCTCTCTCAATATTTCTTAATCTGTCACCCTGCTTTTTTTTCCACTCACACAGCCACTGCCCTACCTTAGAACCTTATTACCTCTCACTAGGATCATTAAAATACCCTCCTAATTTGTCTATTGAAAGGATACCTCCTCCAGACCATACCTCCATTACCCCCAGTTGATAATGACCTTCCCCAGAGACCACATTTGTAACTCTTATTTGAGAGGCTCTTACATGACACAAAAGGCCCACATACACTTAAGAGAAATCCTTGTATCTTGGGCTCAAAAAACAAAATCTGGAAACTTCACTATCCTTCAGTTGATCAACAAGCATCAAGTACCTACTCTGTACCAGGCACTGGGCTAGTCACTGGGGATAAAAAAAAAAAAAAGAAAGAATAAACCAATCTCCACTCAACAATGAGGAAAACAAGAACATATAAAAATATATACAACAAATATAAACTTAATAAATACAGAAATATACCAAGTAGTGAAATACAAGCTTGAGAAGGGAGCAGTAGCACAGTTGGGGGATCAGGAAAGGCTTCATGCAGAAGATGGGAACTGAGCAGTCCTAAAAGAAGAGAGGGAGACTCCATGAGGCAGACGTAAGTAGGGATTCCAGGCAAATGAGGTGAGCAGTACACAAAGGCACAGGGATGGGACATGGAGTGTCATGTCAGAGAAAAGGCCGGTTTGCTGTCTTATCATCAACTTCCCTTGCGAACGTGTAGTTCACCAAGTTCAAAACAGAAAAAAAAAGGCAACTCTGAATGGTAATCCCTGAGTTCGAGTGAATCAGAAGTTAATTTGAGGTTACTAATTTGGGAAACCTTTTGTTAATATGGACGTAATTACTTTTGTGTTTCAGCATGCACATCTCTGAAAGCCAACAAGAATTCTTCAGAATGCTGGATGAAAAAATTGAAAAGGTATGAAGTTAAATAAATATTTCACATACTCTGAAAGGGAATATACTAGGGGCTTTATTTTTTTTTCGTGAATTAGGGTCACATTAATATTCAGTGACTTTCTTTTTTCCATAAATTACTACAGAAGCTAGTTGTTACACTTATATTTTCGTAAATACATGAGAGCTGAGAGTTAAGGCCAAAAAATTGAATGTGGCTTTGGACTAATAACAATGGTGCCCTGCTCTGTGGACCTCCTAGAGTTCTCAAAACCTCTGGTCCAGTAGAAGCAGTTTTACCTTCAAGCCTTGACCACCTTCTGGCTACAGGACTGTGGATTCAAGGCTTTTCACTTGTGATGAGTTAACTTTATAAATTGGAGCAAAAACCTAACCAGTCTTTGCCCTATAATCAGAGATTCATTATCTCCAGATCATTGGTGTCCATGGAGCATGGCACTGGCATACTTGGTCTCTGCTATACCTCCACCTGTGATCACTGTTATTACTAAAAGGCTTATTAAAAATATATTTCACCAATGCCTTTTTTTCTTTACATCACAGTCATTTCTGGGAGGAAACCTTGCCCCACCCTATCCAGATTGATTGAATCAACCCTTATGGCAAAGAAAAAACCATTAAACAAAACATCCGGTACAACTACCATATCTGACAACATAGACAACTTTCTACACTAACAGATATGTTTGGTTTTCTGTCCTTCGGGGCAAATGTTGGCTTTTCAGTTACTCGGAGTTGGGCTTCCTTTCAGGCACCTTTTCATTTGCATTGTTATCGTTTTTTCATATGTTGTTCTTTTGTACCCTTATTTTTCTCTCCTTCATTCAAATAAATCTCACACGTCTCTGAGCTTCTCATAGCCATCATTTCTCAGTGCACAGTACCATTCCACTACTCTCCTGTGCCATAGTTCTTTCAACCATTCCCCAATCAATGGGTACCCACTTTGTTTCCAGTTCTTAACTACCATGAAAAGTTCTATGAATGTTTTCATATATATTGGATCAATAGACTTTTTAGCCATTCTTATTGACCTTGAGGACTTTGAATTTTGCCAGCATCTCACCAGACCTTTTCTAGATTCAACCTTTTGGCTACCTAGGCCTCTAGTACCTACTAGACACCACTTCGATGACTAGATTCTTAGTTCCATTCCCAATGCCAATTTTGGTCCCTTCTGGATAGGTGGATCCTTAGTATGACACCTTTGGAAGATAATTAGTCAATAAGCATTTATTAATGTTATTATATGTCATTTATTACTATTATAAATTTGTTAAACATATATTTTTATATATGCCAGGCACTGTGCTAAAGACTAGGGGTGCAAAAAAAGGCAAAAGATAGTCCCTGCCCCTGAGGAGCTCACAACACACCCTTGAGTTTTTTCAGTAGTGAAAACTGATATACACTAATCCAACCACAGCATTTTAATCCTGTTAGCAGGGCACACATTTGCAAAGGTGATTGGCCAGCTTTAAGAATGTGGTCTCTGTCTAGAGAATGGAGCTAACCTAATTGACTCCCCTGGGACTAAAACAAATGACCTTGATCTCATTAACACTTTGTTCTAACCAAGGTGTAGAATATAATGTCCATGAAGGATAGGCATTGTACTGAATTGAAATTTAGTCTCTGAACTTCAGGAGAAGCAAGTAGAAATATGACTTAAGAAACAGTTAATCAGTTTGGGATACTATGGTTTATAAAACTGACATTTATTCCTGGAGGGGAAAGGTCTACCCTTTAATTCAAAACATTATGGATGAGAGATCTTTGTTCTGATTTAATTGAGAAATTATCTCAGTTTTAATTTTGATTTCTATTACTCTCATAAATTTCTGTGTTATGATCCATAATTTCACAAACGTGCTAAAAAGAAGTCTTGGATTTCAATTATTCATGAGCAGAGCTCCTCCCCCCCCCACTATAAAATGGACAGCTGAGAGCAGCTGCCTCTTCTCGCCCTCTAATTCATCATTTTATAAATCACCAGTAAATGACCAATGAACCTTTCTGCAAATCACCATCCTAATTATAGTGATGTGCAGAATAGAGGAGGGTCATAGATAAAACTGGGTATATCTGACCTATCCCCTACAAGTATGTAAATACTTTCCCCTAAATATCTCAGTGTTAATTATAGTGAAATTTGTGTTGCCCCTAGTGGATTAAGCATGGTTTTTCCCAGCAGAGAGGTGTGATTTTTATAAATCTACAAACCAGTTGCCAATTTTCCTAGAACACAAAGGCTTGTCATTTCCGCCTACACTAATAACCTTTTGTTAGTAAAGAGCAAGAAAAGAAGAAAGTGCCCTATTACCTCTTAACAAAGTCTTCCATTCTCCGCTGGTTTTTCCTGGCTTCCTGGTAATAAATAGATTTGCTTGGTAGGCAGGAATATTGTATAAAAATTTAAACCAAAAACAAAGTTTTTAAAAGCTTACAGAATATGATTAGGCATTGAAGACTCATTTTTGGAAAGCATTTCCAAGTTATAATATTATCCACTTTGTTTTCCTAAGCGTGGAGGTCATTGCTCCAGGCTGATATAGGACCTTTTTCTGATTTGGGCAGGAGAATAGGGATGCATCTGAAATGGAAAAAGCAAAATTTGTGACTTGACAAGCTCTTGGATAGAAACTTTCTATAGACAGAGAGTAGTTGTAGATTGCATAAAAGTATGACCTGGTAAAAATACGATTCTAGTCCCACTCTTTCCTGGATTTTTAACCAAAGAATTGTGGCATAATGTTAGTCTACCAGTTCACGTTCATGGGGTAGCCTCTCCTTCCTTCTATCTTCTGTTTCTCCTCTAATCCCATTTTTATACCTCTGCTCTTATTTGATCATCATTCCTGAGAAGAAGATGTCATTGAAACATTATACTACCTTCTCTTCTTTGCCCCACATCACTCCACCACCATGACTGAAAGAAGGGAACTTTACAGGTTCCTTCTATGGAAAACATCTGTCGTCTTAATGTTAGACCTTGGAACATCGTATCGCTACAAAACTTTGAAATGTGTCTCCATATTTCTATAAACAGTCTCCCTAAGCTTTTTTCCATTCCCAAAGACAAGGTGCTCCAAAAGTCTTGATGCAGTTTTTAAGCTTTATTTCTGTATTCTGTGTGGATGAACACAGGTACCAATCCTCTGAATCTCTTCTTTGCAATTTAAATGCATCCCTTCATTAACAAAACTTAGAATCTAGTAGGGAACAAGTTATAGATATGAGAGACATGAAAAACAACATATGAAGTCCAAGGAATATATATCTATATAAATATATGTGTATATATAACATACACACACATACATATACACTCACATGATTAAGTATCTACCATGGTGTGCTAAATTATGAGTAACTGAGCCTGGGGTTTTAAATTTTCATTTGCCCCACATCTTGTCACATAACTCAATTTCTCCCCCTTAGATCAATGTGAAATTAAATTGAATGAACCTTGGGAGATTTAAACCAATCCTTCCTTGGATTTATTCCCTTTATTTATTGAGTATTTATTGTTCAGACCGTGCAGCTTGAAACTTGACCATTCAGCTCTCCCTCCTGAATATTTCTGATTTGTTCTCTTCAAAATACCATTTGTAGCAAGAAATTAGGATGGTGGTGACTTTTAGTAGAGTCTTGTTAATTAGGAATCCTCTAATTCAGAAGTAGCATATCCTTAGAGTATTTAGAGAAGAGGGATATGCAAGGCAAATGAATAGCATAAATATGACTTTTTCATTCCATTCACTGAATACTTATTAAATATCTGCTAAGTACAGAGCATTATGTTTAGGTAGGAAACACGGTCTAGTAGGAAACAAAACACAAACATAAATATTAGAGAAGTGCAAAGCAACCTATGATGTCCAAGGAATGAAGGTTTTACCAGCATGGGTCAGGGATTCTTTCTTATACCAGGTAGCATTTGAGTTGGACTATAAAGGAACTAAACAGGTGAAGCTGGAGAGAGAAAATGCTTTTTTAGAAAAGGAACAGCCTATGCAAAGGAGGCAGAGAAAGTTTGAGGCACATTCAAAGGAAGCTTTTGGTTTGCCTGGAGGACTGTATACCATGTATATTAGGAAATAATATGAAGTAAGGCTCAAGAGGTAACATGGCACCAGATTTTAAATGGCACTGAATGCCAGGCAAAGGAGTTTAAATTTTACTTCTTGGACAATAGAGAGCTACTGAAATTTTTCAAGCACAGGAATGACATGACTAGATCTATGTATGAGGAACTAACTTGTGCAAATAAGTGACTTAACTACTTCAAGAGAAAAATAACTTTAAAAATCACTTCAGTGCATTGTGCAATAATATTCCAGGCTAGGGACCATGTTTTATACTTCTGTTGTAGACATGGCTAAAGAGAAAATTCCCAGGACTTCATTTCCTATGATGCTTACGAGACAGAGAATATTACTCATTAAGAGAAATTCCAGAAGACTGTATGTCTGGCCACTGAGCATCATTTGGACCAGGACTGGGAGGAATTCTAAAAAGATTCAGAAAAAATAATAGCTAGCATTTATATAGCAATTAAACGTTTACAAAACTATTTACAAATATCTCCTTTGAGCCATACAATAATCCTGGGAGGTAGGTGCCATTATTGTCCCCATATTTTAGATGAGAAAACTGAGGCACAATTTAAGCCCAGAGTCACACAACTAATAAGTTTCTGAGGCCAGATTTGAAGTCAGGTGTTCCTCACTCCAGGTCCAGCACTCTATCTGCTGAGCCACCTAGCTGCCTCTAGAAAAGAAATGAAGGAATCTCATGAAAGGAAGACAGAAGTCTCATTCTTAAAACAGCTGTAAGAGCAAGAAGAAATGGAAAAGCAAACTGTGAGTTGTGGTCAGAATGTGAAGACAGAAAAGGAAGTTTATGTTGTGGTATTGCCATAGTTTCCCTGGTCCCAGGGGTATTTCTGGTAGATTCTTGCTGACCCTAGAACCAAGCAGAGAAATTTCCACAGGCTGC